CTTTACTTTTCGCTTCTTTTCTTCTATAATGAACAGAGCACAAGAGCGAAAAAAAAAAATCCAATCTTTAAACTCAAAAAATGGCCGTCGAGCAAAACCCACAAAAATCCCTGCTCGATTCCCTTTACTGCGAGGAAGAAGAACAAAAATGGGGTGAAATCGAAGATGACGAGACCCAAATCACCCTAAAGAACCAATCTTTTTTCATCAACACCACAACAAACATGAACGAAAACGATGAAAATCATCTCTGTCTTTTTCCTCTGCTTTTGTTAGAACAAGATTTGTCCTGGGACGACGGCGAGCTCGAGACCCTTTTCGTTAAAGAGAGAGAAACCCGTTTACCGGAACCCGACCCGACGACGGGCATTCTCAATCTCACACTCTCTGCAGCGAGAAAAGAGGCCGTGGAATGGGTCCTGAAAGTCAACGCCCGATATGGGTTCTCGCCGTTGACCGCCGTCCTCGCCGTCAACTACCTCGACCGGTTCTTGGTCGGCGTAGGTTTTCAGGCGGAGAAGCCGTGGATGGCCCATCTCCTCGCCGTCGCCTGTCTATCTCTCGCCGCGAAAGTAGAGGAAACCCATGTGCCCCTGCTCTTAGATCTTCAAGTATAAGCATTAAAAATTCAATCTTTTCTTTTTTTTTTCCCACTTAATTCTTACATTTTTACCCATTCCAAGATTGAACCTTTTTTTGTATAATTTTTTGAAGGTTGAGGATGCAAAATACTACTTTGAGGCCAAGACTGTACAGAGGATGGAGCTTTTGGTGCTCTCAGGGCTAAAATGGAGAATGAACCCAGTGACCCCACTTTCCTTTCTTGATCATGTAATCCGACGGCTGGGATTGAAAACCCATGTTCATTGGGAATTTCTGAGGAGCTGTGAGGATTTGCTTCTATCAGTTGTCCCAGGTGATGACTGATGAATGTTGCCAAAAAAAAAAAAAAAATCAGCTGATGAGTAAAAAATATTGATGGTGTTTTTAATTTTTAATTTATTTATGCAGATCCAAGATTTTCTTGCTATCTCCCCTCAGTTTTGGCTACTGCCACGATGCTTCATGTTATCCATCAAGTTGAGCCTTTGAGGGCCTTTGTGTATGAAAACCAGCTTCTTGGTGTGCTCAAAATCAACAAGGTATTTTTATTTTATTTTTATTTTTATGGGTTGCTTCAGATGTGTTTTCATGTGGGCTTATTTTTATTATTGTTTCTTTGTGTCTTTTCATTATTTTTTCAATTTTATTTCAAAATGCTCATTGATTTTATACTAATAGGAGGAATTGGATGAGTGCTATGAGCTTATCTCCAACAGAAATCCATTGAAACGCAGATTTGGAGATTCAATTTTGAACTATGATGACGGGTCAAATGACTCATGGTCATCCATGACATCATCATCATCGTCATCATCATGCATATCATCTTCACCCCATGAGCCCATCTTCAAGAAAGCCAGAAGAATTCAAGAAGAGAAAATGAGATTGCCATCTTTGAGCAGGGTTTTTGTGGATCCTATTGGCAGCCCACATTAAAACACATTTTCTCTCTCTCTCTCTCGAGAGAGAGATTGAGAGAGAAGGTGGCAGAAAGAGCTGGCAAATTTACAGGGGAGAGAATTAAAAGAGAGTATAAAAGAGACATTAGAAAATTGAAGAATATCTACAATCTTGTTTTTTTCTCTCTATATATATATTCAATGTTTATTTTTTAATTATATGTCTCTTTTTTCTCTTTCAAGAACAGTTATTGCTATTTAATTTGCTGCTTCATATGGACATATTCTATATTACAATTTCATTATATTTCATGCTTATATTAATTGATAACCTTTGTTGTGTGGATATATAGGTAGAGTAGATCTCCTTCTTTTTCTAGCTCTCATAATTCTATGTGATTTATTTTGAAAATTCTTGTTCGCATGTGATGAATGTCAAAAAGAGATTAAAGTAGAAAAGAGAAAAAGAACCATTTTTTTTTTTTATTAATAAAAATCGGGTTTGACCTCGAGGATAAAGCAATTTCTTCCCTTTTCTTGATCTGGCACAAGTCTTAATTGGTTTGGTTTGGTGTCAGAATTTGGGGGTGACTATTTTTTTCCGTGCTAATTTCTATAATCTGAAAATAAAATATATTTTGTTATAGATTTGTAGTACAAACTTGCTTATATAATTACGTAAGTTATATAATTAATGTTATAGTTCAACTGTTCAACCTTTCACAACTAATTAAATGCATCCGCATGTGTATATATGATAATTTACTGTAATTAGTATTACCTGCAACTTAAAACTTACGGGATTTGCATGCATGCATGGAATCTACTGTACATGACAGTTTCTTTTGATTAATTTAATTAATTTTAGGTTAAAATAAACATATACATTCATGGACATAACATACTTTTGAAAATGATTAGACGTTCTTGTAGCAGGCCTACTGGTTTAAATGATGTCTAAGAAACATTTTAAATAAACTCATGATTTATATATGTTTGATTAATTTACATTTGGAAATAAATGCTGTAATGTTTTATCCATATCCATTTCTATAGATATGAATATGATTTCTGATTCTATATATTAATTTCTAAAATTTTGGAGTTGTTTGAACTGCTATTCATGACTATTAAAATATTAACTTATTATTAATGTACAATGTATTCTAAAAGATCACAACTTTTGTATTTGTTAACATGTATTCATATAAGATGAATTAAATTCATTATACATTGACGCCTTTTGATTTTATATCAATACTGCATGCATAAATATAAATTTTACCTTTATAATTAAAAATAATTGTATACAAATATTAAAATTATAAAAGTATTTATAAATTAAATAAATTTTTATATCAAGTTGGTTAAATAATATGAATGAAAAAAGTATTATAATATTGGATGAATTAGCACCATGAGCGTCTCTTAAATATAAACAATTATTAAAATTTTAAGAATTATTTAAGATTTTAAAAGATAAAATAATAACATTAAAAGAATCCAATTTGTTCAAATTAACATCACTAACTCTTTTATTTAAATTCTCGCTCTATTTAAAATAATTCAAATTATAATCTTTCATAAATATTAATTTAAAAATGTTAGAAGAGCCTCTCATAAATAAACTATAATTTTGAAAATCTATTAAATTAAACAAACAAAAAATGATATTTTTGGTGTATTTTGAAATTTTATGCTTAAAATGAACATAAAGATGAATTTTTAACCAAGCATAAAACTTCACAACATAATCTTTAATTAATATATTGTCACTAGTCAATATAAAACTACTATTTTCTATTTAATATTTAAGAAGTAATGATATTGGATAAAGAAAAATCACCATCTCGAATCTTGATGTCATGTTACATTGGACACGATATATTTTAATCATCTCTCAGCCCCAATTCTTCTAATTCAAATGCAAACAAACACCAAGAGGCAATAATAATTAAAAGAAAATTGAAATTTAATTAAGTAGATTGTTATAATTATTATTATTACTATTTTTGAAAAAGTGGTCTCCACTTAGTGTGTGGGAAATTAACTGTTTCCACACTTGAAACAAGTGGTGAACTTCTTTTATATGGTTGGTCAACATATGACAAGTGTATGGACGACATAATGATCACAACAGTGATTTGCTTATAGCGATATATTGAGATCCAGCTGATACAAAACCATCTTTTCCCTAAATATACATTTCACCATTTTCTACATATTTCAGTAGATTGATAATCTCATGATATGATAGATATATATATATTAAGCCATAAAGTTAAATTAACAAGTTAATTTAAAATATTCATTCTATATATATATATATATATATTAATTATGACTTGATTCTAATTATCCATGTTTTTAAAGCCATTTTACAATTTGGATCTACACATTTGAAGTACTCATATTTTAGATCAATATATCATGTTGCACTGATTTATTGCAATCTTGGGGTATGCTTTGATAAATCTAGCAGAAAAGTTAGTTGATAGTTGATAATAAGTTAGCTGATAATTTATGAACACCGATTAAAAAGTAAATTAATATAATAAAAATATTTAATAAAATTAGCTTATAAGTTAAGTGAAATAAAATTTTCAACATACTTATTTGAAATACTATATAGGAATGCTTATGAAGTAAACTTTAACTTTTTTAAAAAGTTAATCCTATATATCAAGTCAAACTTATTTGAATACAAGAAGCGTTGACTAACTTAGATTATAAATTCTATATTTTTGGCTTGATAATTGAACGTATAACATTTAAATCTAAAGAATATAAAAAAATACTTCTTTGATTAATGTTACGCCATTTTAGTTCTAGTTCATGTGGATGCAATTTGCAAAAACCCTATTTGCTTTTCATTTTTAATTATTGATGTTATTTATATTATTTGGGATAAGTGGTCTTTGAAGGTGTTTTTTTCTCAAAACAATTCTCTTAGAATAATTGAATAAAACAAATTAAATGGGTTTTACATGCGGGCCAACTGGTCGATTGCATGACGTCTCAAATTTTTACGTGCCTCAATCTTCGGGGCAATATGTCACCAAAAATGTCATCATATATATGGTGTGACAAATTGGTTTAATTTATTATAATTAATTTGAAAACCACACAATACGGGAACTTTAAATAATAGATTTTAAAATTTGATGGGGATAAATTAATATTTTATATGGTGGTTTATCTTATATTGAATTCAATGTAATAAAGAAAGGGAGGAATTATCTCATTCTTGTGTATTTGTACACAAGATTTGAAATACAAATTCAGCACAAATTATACATTATATATCAAAACAAAAATAAATATACATTAATATAATGATTCCTATATATTATATGAGTTAATTTTATGCCTCCCACGACAATAATATTAATCACGTGAATATGCAACACACATTAGTGTGGCCATTGGTATGATATCAATTTTAGTAATTATTAAGAGCATGTTCATTGTCTATTTTATGATGCATGACATGACAACATGAAGAAATGGAACTAAGAAATTATATTTTTAATGATTAATGTGAATTCTACATTAAAATTCGATATATGCAAGAAAACAATTGGTAAGAAATAAGAGAAAAATAATTGAAATAATTAAATTTTAAAGTCCATAGAACATTTTTTTTTTTTCTTTTTGCAATGTTCATTAAAATTCATCAATTTACGAACCACTGAAAATGTTGTAATATTTTTCAATATAGGTAAGTCAATCCATTGGTGGTAAACAAATGGAACTAGATTTTTTTTTTAGAAATGCCATAAGTACATAATACTGTACATAGAAGTGTACATAACACTCACCTAAAGTGAGTCCTACCAAAAATAAAAAAATCAAGTGGACCCCATTTTACTCTATGTGAGTGTTATTTACACCGTTATGTACATTTATTATGTATTTGTAATATTTTTCTTAATTTTTTATTGGATGAATAACATATGTACAAACTACAAATATTATGCCAATACACGTTATACATCCAGCTGAATAATACACGTTACTCATCTAGATAAATCCATTTTTTTTCCCATAAATCTCATTATTTATTATATGTCCCAGTCTGGCTCATCATCACTCATACACACACAAAGATATATTGGGTTAAATTTTAAGAATTTTGATCAAGTCAACCATCATAATTTGTAACAAACAATGAAGTATCATCAGGTCAAGTTTGCCCCCACAATATAATTGTTGAATAATTGTATGATTGCTTCAGAGACTTTGCCTGGTTCATGTCTTTCAAACNCAATTCCTTTGGTCTTTACTTGTTATTGTACCGAGAAAATTTTACTCTTGCACCCCAATTATAATCTCTTTTCATTTGGTACCCAGGTTTCAATTTAATTATTTTTTATTAGTAAATTAAGTCTTAAGCCCTTGTTTGCTTTTCAGGATGGGATTGGACTCATTTAGTCCAATGGAGAAGAATTGTACTATTGGGATTAGATTAATTCTATGTCTGTTATATATGATAAGGGGTAGGATAACTTTAAATTAAAAAAAAAGAAAAAAAATATGGAGGTGGTGTAAATACTGTTTTACCCCTTTCAAATAAATCAAATAAGTATTCTTCCCCAATAAAATACTGTTTTTGGTTAAACCATGGTCGGCGAACATGTGCTTTTATATTTTTCCGTATATTGACAACAAAAGTAATCTGGGAAGTAAATGAGAATACGTAACAAAAAGCTAATGACCAATACAGAAAATCAGTACAAGTCGAACACAATAGTCCAAGATACATAGGCTTGCCGATAACCAATTAGATGTTGAAAATTTTCGTGCTTTCAAAGAACGCACGAATATACGTCGGTTTATATCTCACCGGACTACACTACAACTAACATACTAACTACATCAGTCCGAATCGATGCACGATCCGGAGTCGGAATCATCAACATACTAACCACACCATTGAAATCGTCGATGATTTGGATTTCTTCTTTCTCTTCCATGTCAACAGCCATTTCCATGTGGAGTCTTCCTTGGGCTCGTCTTCGTCCAACTCGATTGGATTGTAAATGTTAAGACCCGCTTCCACCTCCAAGTTGATGGGATAGTGAATCATCGCGCCCGGCTGGTCCCCAAATTCATGTGCATCCGAATCATCAAACTCTAGTGGTTCATAAACCGTGTCTCCAGGGCCATCATCAAAGTTGACATCAGCGGCTTCACGGACCATGAACAAATCGACGCACTCATAGTAGGCAGTAAATGCAATCCGGTTGAGGAACTCATATGTAATAAAATATCTCATGCAACAGATTTGTGACATCCAAGAA